CAGCCTTGAATTGACTGTCAGTCCTCACACACTCTCTCTCTTGGCCAGCAGCATAAAAATAGGCTGTCTCCTCTAAAATAAGTGGAAAACAAAGAAATAGAGCCAGGTTATCTCTGGTTGCCCAGTAGCACCATCAGATTTACTGGGTGTACATCAGGGGTTAATTTGGATTAGAGAGATTCTGCTTTTTATAAAATAAGCCTCTGATTTTCCTCTCATCCTATCTGTGCTCTTATCTGGTGGGTAATGACACCCATACCCCTGTTAAGCACAAAGCAGCCAAGCCTTTTGCTGTTGTTTTTTGAACATTGAATAAATTCCTAATTTCAAGCATTTTACATCACCTGTACGTGTCTGGCATCACTGCTCCCTGAGATGCTGCTTGCTGGGATATGAATTTTGTTAGCTTCCCTGGGGAAAATTCATTCTCTCCCTTGTTTTAACTTCTTGTTTTAATCTTGAAAAGGAGCAGTAGGGAGCAACCTTGCAAAGTAAGATGGATATTTAAGGAGAGCTTACTATTTTTTTAAAAAAGTAATTGTTGAGCAGGCCTTATATATATATATGTATGTATGTATGTAAGAATATATATATATAAGAAGCACTATTTAAAAATAATAAAAATTAGAAATTTAAGTGTAGAAACATCCAAATAGATTTTTAGCAAATTTATTGGAAACCCAGAAATAACACTGGAAGACTAATTAAGGCACTTTGCTCCTCACTCCTCAGACATTTGGTAGGCTTGGCTCTTGTACAGCAGGAGCTGGATATCAATGCAGGGGGAGGGCTGTAAAGTAACTTACACCAGGTGAAGTCTGATGAGATGGAACTTTAATAGGAGCCTTTTAGGGCATGTTACAATAGCTCTACCTTTGCAGCAGCCCACTTGCAAAGCAGTGGGATTTATTGTCTGTCACCTCCAGTGCTATTTATATGGGTAATTTAATTTAACACCAGCAGGAGACTTCAAATAACTCTCCCCAGCACGGGAAGAACAATAACCTCGAGTGCATATTCACACAATATTTCTGACCTGCAGGGCTGGCCAGGTTTGGGAGGGGATGTGCCTTTTTCTGTTTGGAGAACTGAAGGCAGATATGCCCCTGCCCTCTTTCTGTTTCATTTAAGGGGTTTCCAATTTCTCCTTTCCCGGAGCTGTGTCTCCAGGGTTCATCCTGTCCCTGCCATTTCTTCCTCCCAGCTCCTGTGTTTGGTGTATTATATTAAACTGCACAAATCACATCTGCATTTATGGCCAAGCCTCGATCCTGGATTTTCTTTTTTCTGGACAATACACAAATCCAGTTTCAACAACTGATCCAGAAGAAGAGTGTGTGGCTCTTAGGGGATGGGGGCATGGTGGATAAGGGATGGGAAACTCAGAAGTGCATCCCTTGCCTCACTGTGCCAGGCTGTGTTTGGGGTGCTGGCCCCTCTTGTTTTGGCTGCCATGGCATTAAACCTCAGTGGAAGTGCCAGTTCCACCAAGTTTCTATCCCAGCCATTGCAATATGGTGCATGTCTGTGTCGAGAGAGCATTTCTAGGCTTGTGGAAAGGTGCCACATGCTTCCTCGCTGGAGAACAGAAATAAGGGAGCACTAATTAGGTCTGTGGTGTTGGCAGGGGAATTCATGTGTCAGGAAAAGGAAGAATGGTACTCTATAGAAATCCAGCCATCTTCCCAGTGTATTCATCAATATGTGTGAACCAGGAGGAAGGGTAATTCTGCATTTAAAGAGCACAACACGGGTTTCAGCGCCAGACTCCCGTGAAAGATGCAGCCTTCCGAACGGTGCCGTGTCTGAATACATCATTTAACTTTATCTCACAGTGCAGCTGCCTCCTGTGACTCCAAATGTCACCAACTTTGGGGAGGTTTCTGAAAGGGAATGTGCTCAGTGTGTCTTCGGCCGCCTTTATTAATGGAACCAGAGAGGGAACAACTGGAGACAGATGGTTCTGCTTGGTGCATGGGAAATACTGATGCTGGTATTTCATCCTGCAGATATTATTGGCTGGATTGGAAGTTTTTCAAGCTGGGTACCAGTTTAACTTAGTGTACTCACGTGTCTGGGGGAAGCTGGTAGCCTTGTCTGCAAATTTGGTGGCCCAGGTGAGTACAAGATTTTCCTGTTGGGGTTACTCGTCTCACCTTTCATTTCCTTGCAGCACTAAACCCTCCTTTATTTTGGCTTCCTTCAAACAGGGCAACAAGAGGAGACAATTCTCTGCATCAGCTCCACTGCCCAGGCCTGAGCATGTCCAACCCCAGCATTTTGCATTGGCTGCATTACATGAAAACCTTCTGTTGCACCCTGCCAGCTGCTGCTGCTCCTGACACTGCTGCTCCACATTCTGGGAGGCATTTCCTCCCCTCACTCAGGGTGCTGATGGCTGAAGAAACATGCTCAGCTTTTTTGGGATCTGTCTTTAATTATTACACTCAATTAGTCACTTCCCCCACCCCACACTTTATTTATAATTTTTTTCCACGAGTCATGAAAAGGCTGTAGCCAAAAGAGATGATAGATGATTCACAGACAACCTTCTCTCCTGTTTTGTACTCCCAAGAACTTTGGGAACCAGAAAGCAAAGTAATTTTTTGGACTAATGCAACAGCTCCTGCTGGGGCTGTGTAGCAATCAATTACCCAGGCTCTCCCTTGTCCTTCCCTTTGGAGGCTCTGGCACCTGCACATTATGATTAATACAGGCACTGCAGGTAATACTGAGCACGTTGGAAGGTTGCCACGAGCCAAAGGCCATTTCACAGGCTGGAACGAAGGCTCTTAGGGAAAATAAGGGCATTGCAATTTCATAAAATGCATGGAGAGCTGGCTGTGGAGGGAGACACACCACCTTCCTTTGAGACAGCACCCCAGAAAAGCAAAGCTTTATTTTCCCAGAGCCTTTTAGTGCTTGCTTAAGTTTTTGAGCTGTTACAGAAAATAGGAACATTTGGGCCCTATCAGTGTAATAGCTAATAATGGCCTCACAGTTTACTTATCTTCCCAGGATCCCTTTAATATACGCAGCCATTTTCTAACAGATGGGAAACAGGTATGGAGGAAACCTAAGCAGCTGCTCCAAGGTTGTAAGGGAAGGCTGTGGCAGAGCCAGGCCTGAGTCCAATCTGCAGATCCTGAGCCAGATCTGTGACCAGTGGCATCCTCGCCTGGTGAGCATCAGGAGATAACACATGGAGAGCCAGGCCCTGTCCTGGGCTATCCTCAGCCCCACCTGCTGACTGAGAAGTTGCCAGATTGCTGCTGGGGGCTGAGGCTGAGCTGCCCTGATGGATTCTGCAGCCTGACCTGGAGCTGGGCTCTCAGGAGCACCTTCAGGAAGGATCTGGCCCTGTGGGACACCTGAAGGAGCTGCTCCCCCTGCAGAA